CGGCGTTGCCCATCAGCCATGTTGAAACCAGCTAAATTAATGAGTGGGTCAATAGGCATGGTCACAAGCCCTTTGTTGCTTTTGACGCGGCACGCGGCTTTTTTAGATCCGAATATGGCGGGGTATGAATTGGCCAAGGGCCCCGAGCAGCGTCCGGCCTTTCGAGACCACTGCCGTCCGTGTCCAAAAGCTTGGTAATCATTTGGATTTTGCTCAGCATGCAAAGTCAGAGGCATCCACCGTGTCACAAGATGTTGTGTTGCTTGGCATGGCTCTAAGGAAGCTGCTGTCAACGCTGAACCAGGAGGAGGGCAGATGTGAACAAAACAACTTGATTTGCGGGAGTCAAAACTACACAGCAATGCTGGTGCAAGTGCAAGTCCCCTTCATGGAGATTACAGTTCATGCAATTTGCGCTGGTGTTTGCCCTTTGCTGCAAGACTTGTTCACTTTTGCCCGAAGCCACAGGTGGGTTTTGCTTTGTTCTTCAGAAGTTGATGCTTCATTTAAGCTTCAACCTACCAGTACCCCTCCCCCAAGCCAGCGTCACGTGGCTCCCTTGCCATGATCCTCAGCCCTAAGACCCGGTGCCATGTTTGACAGGAGCAGCGGCAGATCGACGACCTGAAGAGCTCCATGTCCGATGCCATCCGCGCCATGGAGGCCAGGGAGTTCTGGGAGTATGACCGCTTTTCTCCGGGTTTTGATTGTGACTCCAATGGGGTCACCAAAGGGCAATCATTGGTGTGGCATGGAACGCATTGGTTGAAACCCACGTATCGCCCAACTGCATGTTTGAGAGGCCGTGGCGCGGATGAATGAATTCGCTGAGCCCGTTCAGTATGGACAGGCCTAGGTTGAAGGCCCAACATGGGGCCTCAGAGGTTCCACGCAAAAGCATGTGAGAGGATTCATGGCGATATTGGGTTCGATTAGTTGGTTCTGGGCTCAAGGGGTTGCTGACCCCAAAACGACGAAGATGCATTCCATGCTGCGAGTCAATCGCAGAAGATGCAGGTAGGTTAAGGCTAAGGGATCTCTGGACTTTTTGGAAGCTCTGGCCGCACAGACGCATAGCGTCAAACAGTGTATCTTTGTACATGTGTATGTGTTTCAAGGAGAATGCCACACAACCTCTCGGAAGCTGAATGATCCAAGCAAGAAGTTTCCCAGCGTCATCGAACCGTTCTTAAAGCAAGCCGACAGCGCATTTTTCTGGTTTGGAGCCTTCTCCTGGGGCGATCCTCTGGCCTTGGTGCACGGGCGCACCCTGGGTCTCAAAGGAATTGGACCTTCGAAATGGGCGGTTTCTCTTTTGTCTCCCATTAAAGAAAGCTATCCGGCAAAGGAACAAACAAAAAAGCCAACCAACCCCCACAAAAGATGAGGAGCAGCCGTCTTTGGCAAAATCTCTGCGCAGGCCATGCGCCTCATGGTGGAGGGCCACTTCTTCCCCATGCAGCAGCACCTCCACTCCCAGAGCGGCTCCGCCCGGTCCTGCGACGTGCTGGAGCACACCTGTCGCCTCGTGGTCCAGATCGCCAAGGAAACGAGCCATCGAGGGCCCTCCCCTGAGTGGCCCAGGGACCGCATGCCCAATGGTGGTAGTTTCCCGTGTAGAGCTGGCCCTGCAAGCACCAGAATGACCGGTGCGCCGGAGGGAACGGCTCACTTCCAAAGGCGGGGCGAGGCTTCCCTTCACTTGTAATTCAGAGTCTAAAAGGCTTGGCTTTTTGGCCGGTTCCGCATCTGCCAAAAACAAAACACGTACAGAGGGCCCTTGTTCCTATGTCCACTCCGTGCGGCAAGACAAACTCTACGTGTGTCAGCCCGAAGCTGTAGGACATCTTGCTGAATGTGATGATCTTCCTGCTGCCAGAATCACGCCTGATTGCTAGATTGCCAGGAAGTAGTCAGTCATGGGGCTATCAATTTGATTAGGGAACCACCTCAAAAGTGACTGGTGGACATCAATCCCCACAAATGGTCAAAACTCATTCCCTGTCAACTTCCGCACTCGTTTCATGCCGTTCTTTCTCTTTGTCTCTCTCTCTCTCTCTCTCTCTATTTCTTTCTTTCTTTCTTTCTTTCTTTCTTTCTTTCTTTCTTTCTTTCTTTCTTTCTTTCTTTCTTTCTTGCCTTCCTTGACCGGTTATTGTCTCGTGGGGGTCCTGTTCTCGTGCTCTGCTCATACAGTTCTACCCTGGCCATCCGGTATCCGATCCGCATGCTTCAAGTTCGCAGGACCCCAAGGGTGGGGACACCATGATGCCGGAGGAGATCCAGTGCGTTAGCCACTCGGTGAGCCGAAACGCGGCCGAGCTCGTGCCTGGATCGAGAAGGCTTACCACTTCGCCTTTTGTTCAGGTGACGTTTTCTTTGGATTTCCGTTCTAATCGGGTGGAATGGGTTCCCGGTTTTGAAATTAAAACATCTTGGAAGAATGTAGAATCATGAAATTGATGGACCCCCTTTTGGTGGCATTTTGAGGAAAGCCAAAAGGACACCAATCATTTAGTGGGCCCTTGAAACATCCACCTGTCGCAAAAGCCCTTGAGATGGTCGGTGTCTTGTCCCCTGTGTGCAGAGTTGCAGACTGGTACAGGGCTTCTCTTGGCCAGCCGAAATGGCTTCCTCCATGTTCATCCAATTTCTCCGAAGGTACCGCCTTGGCTTTGAACGCGAAATCTTCGCAATTCTGGACGTGTTCTGAAGGTCCTTGTTCAAAAGCAAGCGATAAAGGTCGCAAGGGTTCGAGGCCTGTATGGCTGTATTCCTGTTTCAGGGTGCCCCTTTTTAGGTTGGTTTACTGCAAAGGGAAACCAGGAGGAAACTGCAATTTTGATCCATGTTGTCGGTCTCCTTGTTTGGATGCGCATACCTGTATGGCATTACTAGCGTAGCCTCCCCAACGCGTCGCGAGGCCAAGCCTTGACGCTGCTCATCGAGCTTTGCCAAGGGCCTAACCTGCAGAACCAGGAGACGCCTTTTGGAGGGCTGTGCCTTGGGGAGCCATTTCTTTCAGGTTGGTGCTGGGCGAATGGAAGTCCCTTCCGATCAATAGAGCTTCTTCAAATCCGAATCGTTAGGTCACAAGCAGCGTAGCCAAGTAGCAGCTACCATTACGAAGGGTTCAAGGATAGAAGTGGCTGCTGCCATTCGTGAATCAGGGGCTGTTGTGACCTGGGGTTGTGCACACTCGGGCGGAGACAGCGGCCAGGTGCAAGAGCAGCTGAGGTTGAATCTTTTGCTAAAAGCGTGGAGCAACAGGCTAACTCGACAGTTGGGCCTGGATTAGAGGTATACTACCTGTATAAGTTGGCAATGGTTGTATGTGGGGTGTTCATCACGGGAACCTAAGGTATCTGAAATCTGTGGGTGTGCTTGAACATTTTGCACAGTGTGTGCACCGAGGAGGGGTGGCCGGTTTGACCACTAGTTGTTTGTCTCGTATGAAAACCACTATTGTTCCAACCTCCCTTGAAGTTAGGGTCCTGGAGAACTAGTGGTGCCCGTTTTACGACTTTCCCCCGGCCCCCCCCCAGCAGCTCTTCCAGCTATGAGGTCTCTGGGTTGGAGGCTTGGGAGGAAGTTCCGGGGCTCGGAGGTCGGCGGTTGCAAATTTGGCAAACTGGCTCCTTATCTCCTCACTCCCTGGAACAGTTCCGTTTGGGAGTTTGGGCACTCTTTTGGGTTTGGACCATTTTTGCGGTAAACAGAAAGTTTTATACTCTTTTTTGGTCAATCCAGCAGCAGTGAGTTTCATGATATGGTTTCGGCAACACGCGTGTTTCAACAAGGTGTGCAGACAATCCTGGTGGCTTCGGGGTGGGGACAACTCTAATTAGCGACAACTTGCTCTTTTCCGATTCGAATCTTTCAAAACACCTGGGGGCAGTATTTAGTTTGTTTGCGGGTGTCCCCCCTCTCTCTCTCTCTCTCTCCCTCTCTCACTCTCTTTTTTGTTTCTCTCTCTCTCTCTCTCTTTCTCCACTCTCTCTCTCTCTCTCTCGCTTCTCGCTCCTGTCTCTCTCCTGTCTCTCTCCTGTCACTCTCCTGTCCCTCTCCGCCACCAAATGCCTAGATGGTCCAACAGGGATGCCGAAGCGGTCAGCTTTGACCCCGAATTAACCACCAACTAAGCCCAGTTACCAATCATTTGAATGCTACTCGCTAAGCGTCTTCCACTCGGGTTGTGGGTGTGACGGCTAGCGCACAGGCTCCAGGAACCTATTGGCCCCTGGTATTGACCCCTAGTTCCTTTGTCAATTGAACGCTATTTACGGCTTCATTGGATTGCGTCACGGCTGCCTGAACCAAATTGGCACGAAGTTGTCTCTGACGAATCATCGGCATCGATCTCGGGCCTGGGCTGACTTGGATCACAGGGTGCTAGTTTTAAAGCTGAGAGGGTCCTCACACAGGGACCCACAAGACCCATAAAGAATCATCCCTTCCACGGGCGCGTCCCAGAATATGAACTCGTACAGACGGTTGGAATTCCCTTTTGAAGACAATTCAAAAGATGTGCCCCTGAATTTGGACGTTTGTTGGAAACTTGGATGCGCCCAGACGAACCTACCTGTGCCATGAAGGTGCATGTTTACTTGCCCAGTGGAGCTGGTTGCTCCATAGAAGTTTCATTGGCGACGCCCATCAGCAAGCTAAAGGATGCAGCGCAGCAGCACTTCCAGCGCCGCTTGCAGCTCTCTGCGAAAGGCCAGCAGCTTGATTTGACAGCCACGGTGAACGAGGTTGGGCTGCAAGATGGGGGCGTGGTGACTGCGGTTGTGCAGTTGGGCAAATTGGCTGCCACCAATATGGCATTTGCACTGTACGGCCACGGGGGCGAGGTTGTGACGTGGGGTCATCCAGACAGTGGCGGAGAAAGCAGCCGGGTGCAAGAGCAGCTGAGGAACGTCCAGCACGTCCAAGCAACTGCCGATGCTTTTGCTGCCATTCTTGAATTTGGGGCCGTTGTGACCTGGGGTCGTCCGGAATTTGGCGGAGACAGCAGCCAGGTGCAAGAACAGTTGAGGAACGTCCAGCACATCCAAGCAACTGGCCGTGCTTTCGCTGCCATTCTTGAATCCGGAGTTGTTGTGACCTGGGGTGATGCAGAATGCGGCGGAGACAGCAGCTATGTGCAAGAGCAGCTGAGGAGTGTCCAGCACATCCAAGCAACTGCCGGCGCTTTTGCTGCCATTCTTGAATCTGGGGCTGTTGTGTCCTGGGGTGACCCAGACTGGGGCGAAGACAGCAGCCATGTGCAAGAGCAGCTGAGGAGCGTCCGGCACATCCAAGCAACTGCCGGAGGGTTTGCTGCCATTCTTGAATTTGGGGCTGTTGTGACCTGGGGTGATCCAGAAGACGGTGGAAATAGCAGCCATGTGCAAGAGCAGCTGAGGAATGTCCAGCACATCCGAGCAACCGCCCGTGCTTTTGCAGCCATTCTTGAATCAGGGGCTGTTGTGACCTGGGGTGATCCAAAAGAGGGAGGGGACAGCAGCCATGTGCAAGAGAAGCTGAGGAACGTCCTGCACATCCAAGCAACTGAGGGTGCTTTTGCTGCCATTCTTGAATCTGGGGCTGTTGCGACCTGGGGTCATCCTCGCTATGGTGGCGACAGCAGCCAGGTGCAAGAGCAGCTGAGGAACGTCCAGCACATTCAATCAACTTCTGGTGCTTTTTCTGCAATTCTTGAATCCGGGGCTGTTGTGAGCTGGGGTGATCCAGAATATGGTGGAGACAGCAGCTATGTGCAAGAGCAGCTGAGGAGTGTCCAGCACATCCAAGCAACAGCACGTGGTGCTTTTGCAGCCATTCTTGAATCAGGGGCTGTTGTGACCTGGGGTCATCCAGAATATGGCGGAGACAGCAGCCAGGTGCAAGAGCAGCTGAGGAATGTCCAGCACATCCAAGCAACTGGCTTTGCGTTTGCTGCCATTCGTGAATCAGGGGCTGTTGTGACCTGGGGTTGTTCACACTCGGGCGGAGACAGCAGTCAGGTGCATGAGCAGCTGAGGTTGAATCTTTTGTAACATGATTTGCGCAATTGTGAGACGCTGAAAGCGTGCTAAAAGCGTGGAGCAACAGGCTAACTGCACAGTTGGGCCTGGATTAGAGGTGCCCATGGCGTATTAGTGTATGTCTTATACATACTACCTCGGCAAGTTTGTAACGGTTGTATGTGGGGTGTTCACCAGGGTATCCTGAGAGGTATCTGAACTCCGCAGGCGTTATTTTTCTGAAACAAGTATCGCTGACTCCGGATCTGCATGTATTGCCGCGAGATTACCAAAGCGAATTCACCTTTTGATCAGACCTTTTGTTGGTTTTCCTTGGAATCGGTTCCCATTTTTTGGCAATCCAACAGGTGATGATTGATTTCCCTGTCACTGATAGGCACAAAGGGGTTCCCTTTCTCCAGTGGGGAGTGGTTTTCCACCGCTTTGAGTGGAAAGCGGGTGCTTGGAAGGTCACTCTTGCACAGGTACAACGACCGCCGAGGTAAGAGGTTCAGAAATGCTTGCTGCCAAAAGCCGACTGCCACAAGGTCCATGAGAGGAAAGGTCAACCCCTTGGAATAACCTCAAATGTCATCCCTATTCGGGAACACAACAGCCTCAACAATAAGCAATACTTTGTTTCAGAAGGGGACGTTGTGGAGGCCTGCGTTTTCACGGATTATGTTTTAGTGTTTTTCACACATACAGTTTAAAACGCCAACATTTATGGCCTCCACAACGCTTCTCCCGAAAATTCAGTACAAAACGGTTCGGCATTGTGGATTCCAGTAATAGGAGTAGACTATGCATTACATTTTCTAGAATCGACATGTAGGATAGGAGAAGAACTAGGGGGCGGGGGGGAAGGGAATCAGTTTGTATATTTAGCTTGTTTCATTCCTTCCCCCCCCCTCCCCCCGGGAGCCCGCAGAGTCACCCCAGCATCACTGGCACCCAGTAGGATGTTCAGGTATGGGCCGCCTTTAGCTTTTGTTCCTGGCCCTACAACTTCCTTGAAGATTCATTTGGTTCGACGCTAAGTTTGAAACAGGTTATGCAAATTTCGCTTGGGCCCACAGGCGCTAGAAACCTAATTCTAGACCCCGTGTTCGAGTTAGGGATTTTAGCAACCACTTCCAATCTTTGCTTGAACCTCCTTCACACTTAGCGTGAACTTTGCGACATTGATGTTGCTTTTTTTGCCAGCTGCTGAGTTTGAACTCAAGGTGCCTGGCAGGACTGGCTCAAATTGCATTGACTTTTGTGAAGTCCCTGGCGCACGATGCCGGAAGTTTTCATGGCCCAACCTGGTTGTGTTGCTGGGGCAACAGTTTTGTCAACTGGACTGAATGATTCGCATGACAGGCATGGCGCCAGTACTGATGACAGGCATGGCCCCATCACTGCTGACAACACAGGTTCCGCAGACAGATTCCCGGGTGACTTTGAAAATGAAGGGGTGGCAGAGTCGCTCAGTCATCGCAATTTGCCTTCCAGCATCGTTGGTTCTGCCGCGCGGGCTCATCCGGAACTGATTGCCCCGGCTGTTTTTGCAACAAAGGTGTTCCTCCACACTTGGCTCTCTCGCTCTCTCTCTGTCTCTGTCTCTCTCTCTCTCTCTCTCTCTCTCTCTGTCTCTGTCTCTGTTTCTCTCTCTCTCTCTGTCTTTGTCTCTGTCTTTGTCTCTGTCTCTGTAGCTCTCTCTCTCTCTCTCTCTCTCTCTCTCTCTGTCTCTGTCTCTGTAGCTCTCTCTGTCTCTCTCTCTCTCTGTCTCTGTCTCCTCTCTCTCTCTCTCTTTGCCTCTGTCTCTGTCTCTGTCTCTGTCTCTGTCTCTGTCTCTGTCTCTGTCTCTCTCTCTCTCTCTCTCTCTCTCTCTCTCTCTCTCTCTCTCTCTCTCTCTTGCCATCTTTTTAATTCCTGGACAACCCGGCAACACAAATTTGTGCTACGTCACAACTGTGTTCGAGTCGTTCTTTTCTGCCCGATGCTTCGCAATGCGTGCGGTTCTTGAAATACAGGGCGTTTTGTTGTTCAATCCGTTCGGTGGAAGGCGAGCAATCGATACGTTTTTCAAGTTGCGCTCTTTTTGCAAGTACTTGAACTCGTTTTGCACTTCGGCTTCTGCTCGCTCATTTCAGCGATCGAACATCTTGGAGGACCGATCAGCCCGATTTTGGGAACACCGGAAATTTGTACGTTTGCCATATTTTGGTGACGACCCCTGGTTGCGCACTACGTTTGGGCTCAGGGCAGGCAGTTAAGAGAAGGACGCTCCAGGATTTAGTTGTGTTGGCTCGACAGGAGGTGGTGAGCACCTTGGGCCTTGTGGAGACCAGCTCGCGACTGCTGCAGCCCAGCTACGATCTCATCTGCCGCCTGGAAGGCGGGGGCTTCTTCGCGAGCAGAGGGCTGGGAAATCCGGTGTCGATGGGTGAGAATTGTGGAAGAAGCGTGAGTAAAGTTGGCACGTTGGAGCAACCACAAGCAAGCCCAGGCTTGTTGAGGCTGAGCCTGCGGATAGCTACCACGAGCTTTGAAACTTACGGAGCGAGTTCTTCCATTGCACCATATAGAAATATGTCCTATGCCTTTTCTTTGCGGAGTAGTCATGTTATTGCTCTTCTCAGAGTGGGCGCTGGAGAGGCCAGACTCCGCGCCATGGACTTCAATTCGGGACCTGCGGAGCAACAAAGAAGGGGAGAGAGAGAGAGAGGAAAAAAGAGAGAGAGAGAGAGAGAGCGAGGGCGCATGTCCATAGGATTCATAGGATGTTGTAGGATGCTGAAGTCCTCCTACGGGTGAATCAAGTAGCCGAGATTTCACATACAAAGAAGCCTTGGAGGGCAAGCCAAAGAGCAAGCCCATGGCAAAATCTTTTCAGCCAAAGAGAGCCGTGCGGGATATTGCGCCCCACATCACAGACTTGCCCATGTTTCCACCAGCCCAGCAGCTGGAGAACTCAGTGTGGGAGTTGTCTTGTCATGTAGGACGCCGCGTTTTATTACACCGCTTGCAAACCTTGGACGCATTTTGGGCCTAGGGGCCAAACGCTCGCGTAATAGGTTCGAAACCTACGGCTCTTGGGACCCAAGCCGCGTTGGGTGAACATTGGGCGATTGAACGCCCTGCATCGTGTTTAGGCTGTTTGGCGATCCTCAGTGTGAGGCGATATTTACCCGCCGACCATCCGGCGGCTGAAAGCGTTGCTGATGGACGGCATGCTCGCGTTGGTTGAAGGCCGCCTGGATAGCCAAATCCATGCAACTCAGATGCATCAGCATCGTTGATTCATAGGAAGATATATGTTTTGGGTAAATAGAAAAGAGAGGTTCCTTCTGATGCAACCGAAAATCACATTGCTCAACGGCATTGTGCACAGGTCCCTTGCTCGAGGCTTAGCGTTGGCTAGCACTTGCGCGCTTTTGGGCAGCAATTTTTTGCCACAACTGAGGGGCGCCCCTTGTCGAATCAGACCCTCGAACTGTTTTGTTGACTAGGATGCTTTCGCCAAAGCGGCACGTCGTTACGCACCCCGTTCCCAAGGTGACCATCCCACAACGTTTGGACCCGGTGGCGGTGAAGGCGCAGAGTCCATGTCGCCCGATGCCTTCCAAGCCCTCCAGCCCCAGGTCTCCAGTCCAGTTATCCGGCCCTCCAAACATGCCCAGATGTTTAAGTAGGCGAGCCAGGCCGAAGACAACCTTTCAAGAATTGACGCCACGCACCTATTTAAATCGGACGTTCAAAAATTGGTCGGCCGGCCCGGCGGTAACCCTTGCGGAGGTAGCATAAAAATATAGCTGTCCTATTTAAGTGTGTGGACATCTAAATAGCAACGCCACAATGCTCTGTCCGGTGAAAATGCTGGTTTACCCGCCGTTCTGGCTTTGTAGATACTTGCGACCTGGCACCCCGTATGGCTGTTTTTTTTCGGTCAAACTCCCGTATTTGGCCGTATTTGCCCGTATGGCCATGATTTTTCGGTCATTTGCGTAAATCACCCGTATGAAACCCATATTTTTTCGACATGTTGTTGAAAAAAAGCCGTAAAAATCCGTATGGCCATTTTTTTCGGTCAAAGGCGTATGACCTAAAAAAAACGGCCATATGGGGTCCCAGGGACATATAATTTTTGATTTGTATGGTTCATGGTGCACTATTCATCCAGTGCTTTCACGCATATGGTACCTTTTTGGACACGGCCAGAGATCATGCGCATCGATGGCGAGGAGCGCATCGAGTTCGTCCACAGCTACTTCGTCTTCGGCATTGTGGGGGTGTCCACCCGCACCGTGGACAGCGAAGCGGTGGCCGCCATCCCTTTGGAGGCGCGCGGGGGTTGGCTAAGATCGGAGCTGCTCCGGTTGGGTTTCCATCCAGTTGTCGTGGGATGCCCGAGGTCTCCCATGGTTCGAGGTTTCTATGGGTTTCCGTTAGTGTCCTTCTTAGGCTTGATAGTTTGGCTGAACATAGGCACTGGCTTCAGTTTGGTTGATAATATTTTCAATCCATCATATTTTTTGCGGGGCGGCCAAAGACAGGTTTTCCTCTGGCCCCCCGTCAAAGCCAATCCAACAGATAGGCCGCAAATTGAGGAAATACTTGCCCTTCCAAAGGTGGTCTTTGTCTCGCCACGCGAATCTGGTTTGTTTTGGAACATCGCCACCCCCCCCCCCCCCCCCCCCCCCCGCTATTCTGGAGACCTTTTGGCTCTTCGCCCCAAGAACCTCCCACCATTTCGAACACGTTGTCCGGTTGCGATGAAAGCTCGGGTCCTCCAAAAATAGTTAAAACAATGTGGGGTTGGTATTGCGCTGGGGATGTCTCCTCGGAAAGGGCCTGCCTCTCCGATAGCATGTCCCAAAAAATGTGGGGCTGGGGCGGCCCGGGGCGGCAGGGGTGACATCTTATGCAGTGTACCCCAGTCTCGCCAGGGCAACAGCCGGAGCCTCTTCTCGCCGCAAGCGGACCCCACGGATGTCTACCACAGCTTGGTGGAGGCCTCCGTACTCACCGAGGAGTCGCCCGGGAGAGACCTGTTCGGGAAAGCAACTTTGAGCTGATGAAATGGAATCTTTCAACCAGACAAAATGGAGAAGAGACGTCGATCACGAGCTTTTGCTGGTGGCTTGGAGCAACACAGAGATGCCTCTCTTTTTGAGCCGGCTCGCCAAGCGCTCGGATTGCGGAAATTCAGCATGGGATGGGTGAAACGGCAAAAACAAACTGTCAATCCGTGAAGGTTGAGGATGCCTGATTCCCGGTTTGAGTAGAGTAAGTTGCCCAGATTGTGGGCGAGGCAAAGGAGCTAGTGAACCGTGCTTGGCCGGGAAATCTCCGGACAACGAGAGTTCAGAGCAGGAAACCAATCATTTGAAGGCTTCTTATCTTGAATTGTGGCACATTCCGCAGGATCTCTTTGGGAGGTGAAAAGGACGGCTCTTTCTTAGGCCATTGGTCTTTTCTGCATCGCGGCTTCTCTACAAAACCCACCCTCAACCAAAACTAAACTCAACCTCCATGCCCGCGAAGTCTTCCAGGAGCTGTTGGAAGACCTGTCAGACGCGGACATTCGCAACTTCTTCAGCGAGGGGTTGAAGCTCCTCGGCGGGTGCCGCAAAAAGCGGCCGCCTTTTGGGGTAAGTGCCTCGCCCAACATGGGTTGATAGCAATGCCGTCACGTGCCCGGTGCAACTCGTGTTTGGCAACCAGCAACTCATTTCTTCCCTGTTGAAAGGTGGGACCCGGCGTCTCGTACCCTCAATCTGTGAGAGCATGCTCGGCCGTGCAGCGGGAAGGAAGACATGGCCAGCCAAGCTACTCATGCAGCTAGGTGTGTGGCTGGTATCGAGCAATGCGACTTGTGAGTGTTCGGCACCTTCAATCAGATACTTCGAGTCGGCATGCCATGGCATGCCACATTTCGTTGAATTGAAGTTCTCAACGCGGGTAACTGGATCACTACCCTCAAAACATGTCCATTTCCTTCAGGATGGCTTGAGGTGTGACGGATGGATGATGGAGATGGAGCAATGGTTTACACGCCGAATTTGGCACTTGCTTTGGCTGGCTTGGCTTTTGTCGGGATGGCTGAGCCCACTGCGCCCGGCATCGACCGTAGCTTTGATGTCACTTCGGCCATTCTGCATCGGCGCGTCGTTGCGATGCTTTTATCCATTGGCATTACAAATCTAGCACGGCCTGGAACCCGGCGCCTGGCAAATTGACCACACGGCGTCTAACACACACCTCTTCAAAAGGTTTGTTAACGCGGCACCCAACAAATCGGAACGGCTAGCATTGTCATCCATGGATGGATGATGGAGATGGAGCAATGGTTTACACGCCGAATTTGGCACTTGCTTTGGCTGGCTTGGCTTTTGTCGGGATGGCTGAGCCCACTGCGCCCGGCATCGACCGTAGCTTTGATGTCACTTCGGCCATTCTGCATCGGCGCGTCGTTGCGATGCTTTTATCCATTGGCATTACAAATCTAGCACGGCCTGGAACCCGGCGCCTGGCAAATTGACCACACGGCGTCTAACACACACCTCTTCAAAAGGTTTGTTAACGCGGCACCCAACAAATCGGAACGGCTAGCATTGTAATGCATATTCCAAACCCGGACTTTCTTTGCTGCGGGTGCAAAGCTATTGCCTCCAGGCATGAGGGCTTTTGGGGAATGCAGGGGTTGAGGGTTCAGGGAAATTTGGCTGAGGGTCAAAACCAATACCATTTTGGGGTGGGTGCACCACCCATTTTAGAACCTATTTTAGTGGTTGGATTGGGATGTTCACTGGGGGCCAACCGATTTGGATTTTGACCCATGGCCATGAATCGTGAGGATGGTGCAGCTCATCCTGGAGGTTGCCACGTGCCTTGGTAGTGCTTCAGGCGGGTGGAGCTTGCCGCCTTGCCTCCGTGATCCGTGGATTCCCCGAACGGCTTGGTGCTACATGGGGGTCAATCGGTACCTGGAGCCTGGAGTCTCCATGACCCTTTAAAAACGGGGGGTAATGGGGTCACGGACCCATTTAAAGGGCATGACTCCAAAGAGATACGGACTTCGGCAGCCCCACTTGGCTGCTTGGGACATTTTGCTGCGGTGCCTGGGAGGGTTCCCATCCGCCCGCGCACGTCTCCAAGGCCCAAAGCTGGTGCAACTTCTTAACCTTCGATTGAGATGAACTTCCGAGTATGGCAGGTAAGATTAGAACTGCAACAGCAAGCTGGTTTGTGCGAGCCCGACCCACGCCACAATTGGCATGCATTTGAGCATTGCCGCACCCCATCTCCAAACGGTCAAGATTTGCCTGACACACGCAGTCCCCCACCAGAGCACCAACATGAAACTTGTTGATTCTGTACGCAGCGAACATGAAGGTGCATCCCAAACGTTGGTCAGTCCTGCATGCAATTAATAGAAACGCAAGCAGATTGACAATACCCTGCTCGAACCAGGATGAGGACCGCCACGACCGTCTTGAAAGAAGAATTAGTTCTTGCTCGTGCCCTTTTTAATGCAGTAGCCGTGCTTGTCTGCCCATTCCGAACCAGCAACATAAGCAATCGATTTTCGAGTTTCGCACTCCTGTTGAGTGGGTCGGAATCATTGGGACTCCCCCCTATCCCCAGCCCAATGAGCTTTCGAGGTACTCCGCGAGCTTCGAGAAGATTGTGAAACCTGTCAAGGCAGGGGGGGCGGGGGTGGTCTAGCTTCCTCAAAAAATGGGGAGGTCAATCAGGCCATTTGTCAGATGTCCATCACCGCGGCCGCCCGGGTCAGTTGACCACCCACTGGTTGGCCTTTTGAAGTTTGAAAGCCATGTCCTCATATGGTGTCGGAAGATGGGAGTTCCGCAAACAGGAAGCCCCTTGGTTTCCCTTCTTTAACCACAAACAGGCAAGTTTTTCTCTAGCAGCCTCTCACAAGTGTCGCAAATGACAGAATTAACTACGCATGTTCAGGTATGTCAGGTTCTCTAAATTCCAAAATAGGTGGGTTCCCGTTCTGGGTTTTGGGAAGCTGAAAATCTCAACCGTGAAAGATTCCAAACTCCTGACAGCCTGACAGCAGGTTGGAATCCGGAAGTTTTTGCACATTCGCAACCCACATATTCAATAGGGCGCTTCAAAAGGGGGCCCCAACTCGTTTGTTCAACTCGCCGGAGTCATGCATGTCATTTTTCCGTTGTCCAACCCCAAGATTTCAATTTTTTGTTTTGAAACCAGGGTCAAAAACGCAGATCGCGAGTGCCAGGAAGAGGACGAGACCTTTGTAGACGACCCCTCGCAGTACCTGTCGGAGAAGCACTACCTGCAGGAGAAACCGACAGACGGCGCAGGGGTTTGTCTTCGCCGGTTCGGGGAACTTGCCAAACCCCGTGGATCCCGAAAACATGCGGAGATTGGCAGTTGTTTTTGCCTGTCAACACTGATGACGTCAGCTTGAACAAATAGCCGACCTGGCTAGCTTTGCAATCTCTTCCGGACGAATGAGTAATATTTAAAGTTTCACTCACCAACTACTTTTGTTTGTCCTGTTGTTTCGGGAATGTGTTGCCCCATGCACTTCAAGAGGCAGGTGTTTTCTGTTGCGTGAGCGTTCAATTGCAGCAAATAGTGATGTCCCCCTGAACATGTATGTATGTCTCAATCCAAATGGTGGTTTGCTGTTGGTTTCTTTTGGCAACCACCAAAAGAAGGGGTAATTACCCTCAAAAAAGACAACCCCAATTGTTAAAGCAACTGGCAACGACAATTTGCCTCATAACCCTTTGATCAGTCTCACCTGTCCAAAATTGAACCAGGCGCTTGGTTTGCGTTTCCACGGTAGTTGTTTTTGCCCTCGCCTCGCCAGTGGCTGCATGCTCAGTTGTTGGCAACCGACCTTTGAACCTTTCAGTTTCCGCTTCTTGGTCCATTTGCAGTTGAGGTCTCAAAACACTTCAGCTTTTGCCCATTGTTTCAGTTTCCTCTTCTTTTTTGCAGTTAAGGTCTGAAAGCACTTCAGCTTTTGCCAGTTCCTGAGCCCGTAGGAGCGCCAAAAGTATCACGTGCACTGCAAGTACCGCATGGCCTTCTCCTTTCTGAGCCGCTTCGTTCGGACCATCGAGGTGATGATGAACGGCCCGGGCCCTCGGCGGTTTTCTTCTGGATCGCGGGTCTCGACCCCCCAGGGCAAGATCTTCATCCTGTTTTGCGTTACGGATTTGGCCTCTTTCCCGCGAGTTTTTTTCCTGGGGGTACGGGTTATCGGCCAACCTCCATTTTGAACAGACCAGCGGTGAACATCTTGCATGCGCAGTGTGTGCGGAAATCACGGCAAAGCTTGGGTTTTGGCTTTGGTGCGGCTGGATCGACGCAAGGCCTATCTGTGAACTGTTGCAACAGCTGCTGGAGTTTTAAGTGCCTTGAGATGTGAAGGCCCTGCTTTTGGCGGCGGGGAAACCAGTAGACCAGCGGCATTCCGTACAAGAAGTGCAAAAGAATACAGGTGGATGGGAAAAAAGTAGATTTCCGAAAAGTGTATTTGTGCAAGGTGAGTTGCACCTAGGCAACAATTTGACTGGCTCTACACCTCGATCGGGAAAACACGGAAGCTGGGCAAGCCGATTCCCAAACGCCACCTTTTCTGCGCAAAAGGCTTTCCGGGAACCAGAGATGGTCGCCTTCAGGCTTTGCTAAATACGGAATTCATGTTCATTCTTCCGTATCGGGTTTCCTCAGCATGATTTGATGACCTTTGCTAAACCTGTGCCAAACCATGACTCCGATTGTATGCCACGTTTCGAGATCTTGGCCCAGTGGTTCAGTGGCAGCCGAGAAACTTCGACCTTTCCCTGCTTGGCCCACAAGATCCCAAGAGTATGACACAAGGTGACAAGGTGCAAGCTCTTTGCCAAGGCAACCTGCACTACCTGCACTTTCGGCTGCCGGTCACCGCCATGTGGTACGTCTACGGAGAAGCCAAGCAGAACATTCTGGACACCATCCCCTTTGCGTCTCCGGATATCAAGGCCAGATACTTTGTCAAGAGATGCGCCTTGGCCCTAAGAAGTGATCGCCTTGGCGACAAGCGATCGGGGTGTGGTTCAAAAATAGGTACCCAAAATGGAACCCTGGTTTCATTTTGACCCATGGCCATTTGTGGCAATTTCCCCCCAGTTGCCCTCAACAAATCCCCGGCCCCAAGGGGGCTATAAGAGTTTCCCATCCAAGGCATCGGCCTCCACCGGGAGTCCAAGCTCATCAAGGATCGGGTGCTGCCAGCTTTGGGACGATGCGTGCAGTTCGACTGGAAGCTTTTCAACGTCACACGGTCTCGAGCAGAAATGTCCTTCATACCTAGTGTTGGGACTATTTCATGGCCGAGAGCCGGAAGGGCGCTTGAGTCCTTCGCCGCAACATGCCAGGACTTGTCCCGGTTCTCCATTGTGCCGAAGAGGCTGCTGAAGGCTGGGGGGGAAGTTTGTTGGACCCCAGTTGTCCAGCGTCTCCCGTTTTATTTCTTTTGTGTGTGGACATGTGCCTGCAACACTGACAGAAGCACAGCCCCCAGAAAACATCATGACCATGTTTATTCTCGGCCAGTTGAAGTTTGGTGTGACGTTCTTTAGCCAGGATAACGGAAAGAATGCAATCATTTTCGTGGACGCAGCGGTGTCAAGTCAGCGCTGGTTTGTTACTGCCTCACGTCCTCGCTTGCTTGGTGGCTCGGCTTGGATGGGTCGTTGGGAATTCGCAGGTGGCCCAGAGAAACATCCCAGACTGGATGCACCGGCCGCAGCCTGGCTCCATTGCGTGGATTCATTTTCGGTCGGACCGTTGCGAGCAGATCCTGTGGGGAGTGTGGCGGGTTTGATGCCCTGCATGACATTGAAAGTAACAAGTAAACTCATGCGCAGTGCACCCCTCCAGGAAAAGCACCGGAGTTTATTTCAGCCTTCAGGGTGCACATTTTGTCCCTTGTCCGCAGGCCGCGCGTCGGGCCATCCTTCAAGTTCAAGTATTGCAGTTCGTGGCAGGTTTGTTTACACCGAATATCCGGTTTTCGCCTTCATATGCAACCCTTGACAGAGCGGAGCAGAAACTGAAGGGCAAAGAAGCTGGCACCTTTCGCGGAGAAGCCATTGCTTCTTGCAGCTTTTGAGTTTCTGGAGCCGATTTTTGACACCAAAGGAACTCGCCCTCTATTGCTGTCGGCGTGCAAAGCCCTCATAGAAAATTACTGAGGGCAGGTTCCCCCGAGGCAACCGGGGGGTTGAAGTTCTTTGCATCACTTGTCCGCGTTGAAAGAGAAAACACGGCGAAGGGGGCTTTGGCGCTGTGGAGTTCTCTAAAGTTAGACAGAATGATTTGTCGAATTGCTATGTTGCGGAAAGCACCGTCTTGAGGTTCCAAATCTTCCTTTGCGACGATGCCAAGAACATGGCACGGCTCCTGCGGAGCGCTCTCTTTTTGGGCCTGGCGCTGTCGGCATTCACGGGCATGCGCCTGGGATGCATGCTTCAGGAAGCCTTTGGGTGCTGTCCAGTGGCCTTGAGCAGTCAGAAAACGAGCTCACCCAAAAGGATGCTGCATTCATGTGTAGTTGCCCGGCCCGAGAATTGTTCGGCTTCCCGCAGGCGCTTCATCGGTTCCCTTTTTCATGGTTTTACTCAGCCGCATGATGCATAAATCGAACCCTGTTTGTGTCTTTGAGGGTCGTCAGAAAACCCCGTCTCTTGTATTTAGTCTATAGCGGAATATAGATACAATAAATCTCATCCCAGACATATGAAAACACGACGTAGGCGCAAGAAGGCGCAAGGGCGGGCGCAAGTGCTACCACTACTAGCTCCACTACTACTACTACTACTACTACTACTACTACTACTACTACTACTACTACTACTACTACTACTACTACTACTACTACTACTGATACTACGACTACGACTGCTACTACTACTATTACTGCTGCTACTAGTTCTACTACTACTACTACTACTGCTGCTACTACTACTACTACTACTACTATCACTACTACTAGGCGGTATTCCGATGAAAAGTATTGCAAACTATTGCTTCTGCTGCTGTTACTACTATACTGCTATAACGCCCCGACCGCGCGCGGCGGCGCCGCGCGTTGAGGCACGAAGGGCAATAAGTGGACTCATGGCAAGGCGTCAATTTTCAGCTGTGTAATCAGTAATACTAGTAGCACCTTCATCACTTCAGCACACCAGTTGCCAAGGCCAACAGGTTTCGAGCGCAAGCGGTCTCACAAGTTCTAGGCAAGGCTTCAACAGCCAGTCTGAAACAGTCTGAAGACACACGCACACAAACGGGCGCGCGCATCTTCCAGGCGGGACTTATGTATTTAGGTGGTACTAGGTCTGGGACCTGTGCTTCCGCCGCTACTAACGTGCTTCTTACTATTATTACTACTACTACGACGACGACTACTACTACTATTGCTACTACTGCTACTGCTACTACTGCTATCTAGTACTACTACTACTACTACTACTAGTATTACTACTACTACTACTACTACTACTACTACTACTACTACTACTACTACTACTACTACTTCTACTACTACTACTACCACTACCACTACTGTTACTATTAATACTACTACTACTACTACTACTACTACTACTACTACTACTACCACTACTTATTCTGCCCTGCTACTACTGCTACCGCTACTGCTCCTGCTACTACTACTACTTCTTCTTCTAGGCATGCCTCCCGCAGCCAGTCACACAAAAACAGGGCACGTGCCCCTGCCAATTGGTCAGGCTTTGCCTGCTCCATGGAGGCTGTCAGAGCTTTTGCCGGCCTTTATCTTATTTGACCAAGCGCCAGGACTTGTTTGTGTAAAGCCTGCCTTGCATGCAGAAGAGTGTCTGAGTAGGTCTGAAACACTCCAATTTGTAATGCCCACGGGCTATTCCTGAACAGTTGGTCGGTTGGTGGGTTGGTGGGTTGGTTACTTGGTTTGCGCTTGTTTGCAAAAAGCCGGGGGAGACGTTTTTCAAATGGCGCCAAACAGTGTTTAAATCCTGAAAGAGGCAAAGCACCCGCATTGGCAAAGCACCCGCATTGCACTGACTACTTGTTAGCATGAAGCCGCGCCTACAACGTGTTCCTGACCTGAGGGCGTTGCTTTGTCGCAGGTTTCGCCAGGAGGTTGTACTCTCTTCGAATGTACCTTTCGTGGCCCGAGCCTTTTGGTACAGCTTAAAAGACCTAATTTCCCATGTGTTTCGTACACGAAGATGACGGCATAAGCAAAAACACACGTAGGCGCAAGGAGGCGCAGGGGTGGGCGCAAGGGATCCTAAAATGAAGCCGCAAAGTTGAGGGCGTTGTCATATCCTTCGATTATCATCAGGTTTTGGACATCGACCGTGGGCTCAGGCCGCCGGAGCGCGTCCGATTTTCGGCTGACGACTGCCATCTTCCGTTGAGGAACATTGAAGCAATTGCAGATTTGCGTTTGCGCTATCCTGGCCTCAACATTGTTGTTTGTTCGTATATCCCGAAGGTTCTCGGCAGCATTCGTGCGAACGACAACTTTGTCGGAGCAGTGAGGGCACTTTCTCACGAGCGTCGCTATACCTCTTTTAACCGTGCAGTTTTTGTACCTCAGAGGTGTGGCCCGGAGGGGAAGCTTGAGGCCTTGACATCTATTTATCCGCGCGCTAGGGCGATCCACTTGGACGACGACGACGACGAGCCTTCTTGAGGAGGTCAGCTCCAATCATTGGTGCACGGCTATTGGGATCAGGGTGCCTCGCAAGCCGCAGTGCCCGAACGTGCAGTATTTTTGGTCTATCACTGATGCATTGCCGATGATTCAGGTGATTTTGGATCAGCGTAACCCGAGGAATCTTCGTCGGTGATTCCGCCATTTGTGGGGACCAGCAACTGCCGAGTGTGTGAAATGGCAGCCGGGGTGCGACCCCGGTAGGTGCACGATCAGTTGCATATTCATCCCCATCATTTGCCTTTCATAATGCGTGCCACCAATGTCGCAATCATTGCCTGACAGGACAGACTCTTCGCAAGTGTTGTCAGGCTCTAGATCAAGGTCTCTTGTGGGAGCTGTTCCAGGTGCCATAAGGTCTAGGTCAGATTCTTGTTCATCGAGGCCGCGCGATTCAGCAGCAATGACAAATACTCCTGACCGTCAGAACCATGTTCAGTCAGAGGAAATGGTAGCCATGAATCAGCTTTTGAGTAGCGATCCGAATGATGAGCTTGGACCAACCCCAAATTCCTGAAATGACGTCATGAACTCAATGAATAAGGTCATTCATGAGAGGGATCAAAATATTAGCATGTTGCAGCAGCAAATGCTCAGCCACAAAACCCAGATTGAAGAGCTTCAGCATCAGGTAGCTTCTCAAGATTCCCTCATTCAGCAGATGCCCATGGGGACCTCCTCCAGGAAAGTGCTCCGGATGACTCATCAGATTGAACTTCTGCAACGTCAGGATGAAGGGACCTCCATATTACACAATATAGCTACTCCGCCTGGAGTTCATCAAGATGATCAGCAATCCCAAGGTCAAAATAGCCTTGATCAAGCCATGAGAGCCTTCCAGGATTTATTTAATCGATTGATTAAAGTCGCACGTGATGGCACGGCTTCCCAAAGGCCCTTGCCACCTTGCTTGCCGGATACTCGCGCAAGGGGTTCCCTGTCAAGTGGCGCTCGGATCATCAGACCATCCCATGATGCAAATCCTATGGACTTTCCAATTTGTCCATCAAGGATCAATGAAAGGGAGGTCATTGACTCAAAGGCCATATAGGGTACATCAAAATTGAGCCCGTTCCCGACTGTGCGGCATCGTTCAGGTCTTGGAAGAACTCTATCATCATGTTGTGCGCAAAGGGCGATTTGTCAGGGACCGATGCGTTGACAGCTTGGATCACTAAGAGCTTCGCCGATGATCTTGCCTCGCTCGATGCAGCAAGTGGAGACTTCCCTCGATTTGATAGGTGGCTTGCTCAGAGTTGACAACCGCCAGATCATTGAAGGTCGTGCCGGAAATAGCGAACAACTACATTGAGTTGTGCGCTGGTGAGAATCGTGCGCCAAGGGGTAGGTACATCTTGTCAATCGTCGCCCGTCACTATGACCTTGACAGGGCTCGAGGTTCAGTGTTGACCACCACACCACGGCACTCCTGGCGTTGGAGCCGGCCGGTTTGGCAATCCCTCAATTGCAAGATTTTGTCAGCAAGATTTCCTTCACTTTGACCTCGGCCCCAATCGATGAGCTTCCCCAGAGGCAGTTTCTTTTGGCTCTCAACTTGCTGCCGACCGTCTCATTGTCCACAAGTCATCATCATCGGGCCAAGGAGCGTGATTCAAGCTTATCCAGCATCAACCAAAGGCTCTGAGTTTGACAGCTTGAGACAATTTGTTGGTCCTACACTTGGGAAAAATCCGGATATTATGATAAAGAGTGATGAGGCTGAAGAAATCATCAAAGCAGTCCGTGATCTCAGATGGTTGCCCAGTGCTTCATTGCCTCGCAGATGGCTTCACACAATAGTGTCCTAGAGCGGGAGATGCGAAGCTTTGTCGAAACCGGACGCGCGGTTCATCTGCAGCAGGCTTTGCCATCAGACCGGAAGTGTGGCCTGTGTCATGCAAGTATGCCGCCACTGATTTCAGTGGACCAATCCATTCGCTTGGCCAACTTGTATTTTACCGCCGGAAGGATGTGCTTAAGCTGTCACCCAATGCCAGTCCTGGCTCGCCGGCTGGCGTGCGGAGCACGGGTGCGTCTACCGATCGGTGACGCTTGTTCTGGACTGTGCAGCCCTGAAAAATAGGCATAAAAAATTAGTTCCTGAGATTGAGCTACATGTTCCTTCAGAAGCAATCTCTTCCGGCATGATTCTCCCTTGCGCAGGGGACGACTACGTGGCCGCACGGTCGATGAGATCGGCCCGTCAGAAGGATGTGAGGCATGTAGGTCAGGCACATATGCTCATACTTCGGAGTGAGTGAGACGCTTCGTTAAGGCCGCCATACCAGAAGCTAAAGCTCTTGGCGACGCCTCATCTTCCAGAGTCTGTGGCTGTCGTTCCGCCTGATGAGGCCGGGGAAGATCCGCTAGTTAGCGGGGGTAGCAATGATCTTGAGTACTCGCCTGGCATCATGCCTGAAGGTGAAAATTCCCGTTCCGATGCCTCTTGGCGATGATTCGGACGAGGAGTTTGACCCTGATTCATTTGTGCCTGTCACCCCTCCCGGTGAGCGAGCAGGGGGGGCGCATGATAGCAGCTTAAGCATCTCTTCGCAAGAAGGTGATCGAACTCCGGTTCTCGTTGCTCCCATACCGGTGTGACGGCTTGTGCTGCCATTTTCAGTGATCTTATTGAGATTGGTTTGCCTGTTGAATGTCTCCCTGGGCAGCCTTCATCAATCTGTGGTGGTGCGGAGCACTCCACTAGAGCTGCAGATCCTAAAGGATCAG